CACCTTCCCCTGATCCTCAGGGCTCCCTTACTACCGCAAACCCCACAGGTTCTGACAGTGCCAGGGAGCTGAAGAGCAGCCCGCAGAGGAGGAAGGGCAAGATTTGGAGATCGAGCTGTGTCCCTGCCCCTTTCATGGGACAGCTCTGACAGAGGTCGTCGGCAGCCGCTCATGATGCACCCGGATGGGCTGTCCCCTCTTCTTGTCTCTCTACAACCCCCTGGACCTCCCGGGCCACCTCCCAGGCACAGCGCTTGCTCTGGAATCTTGTCTCTGGGTCTGCTTCTCACAAACCTATCTTAATACCTGTGGCAGAAACAAAAAGCCTGGGAGGAGAGAAAAGAAGAACTCTGAAACCGCAGAGATGGGAACGAACAGGTTTTAGGGCCCTGGAGTGTGTTTCCAGGGACCACTGAGACATGAGGGTCATGCCAAGGTTTCTGTACACACTGAGGCTACGAGAGCCACCTGGGTGCAGCATGCTCTTGCTAAGAGGCCTGGGGAATAAGTTCACATTTTAGAGAGTTTTCTACTTGAAAGAGTGAAGACAGATTGTGAGGCTTCAAGGAATACTTCTGTAGCTCTCTTGGAACCTGAGCTTCCTGAATGCCCCTTTCCCTGATAGCAAGGATTTACAGTGGAGCCAAACTCATTGCTTTCAAGCTTCAAAGCTCCTGGTTCCAAAGGAGTTTGGTTTTTTGAGATTCTTGTTCTTCCTAGTCTTTGATTTCCTGCCTTCCTATTCCCTGTTTGCATAATGGAGTTCTTTTTTTAAAGTCTGCCTTCCCATGAGAGCCTGCTTCCCCTCCCCGGGCATCTCAATGATCCTTCTGCACCATCACCTCATTCCCGGGGTGGGGGAGCAGCTCTGCACTCAGAATCCCAAGGACCAGTACACTGAGAGTTCCACTTCTGTTTTGTTTCCTATCCAAATTGATTATTTTTTTCAGTTTTCATCCAGATGTTTGATAGCATGTAAACACAGCTTGAAAGTGTTCCTGAACTGCTTACAGATGTATGCCAGTACCACTCTCTCCAAATTATATATAATGATGCTCTGAATCTATTTATATCTGGTTCAGTCTCTGGCTTGAATTTAGCTGTAAGACTAAGATGGAAAGAAAGTGAAAACTTCACATGTATGGGCCATTTGTCTACTTGATTGAAGACTGTGGATATTTGGAAATTCTCAGGGATTGACGCCATTTTTACTGAATGCTGGTGTCTGTAACCATGGTGTTATAGCTGGATATTTATGTGATGATATTAAAAATGGGATCTTAGGAAGTAATTAGGGTGGGATAATGTTATGAGAGTAGGGTTCTTTGTTCTTTTTTTTTTTTTTTTTTTAGATGAGGTCTCACTATGTTGCCTAGCCTAGTTTCAAACTCCTGGGCTCAAGCAATCTCCTGCTTCAGCCTCCCGAGTGGCTGGGAATTATAGTCTTGTGCCACCACACTTGGCTCTTATGATGCCCCCTATAAGAACAGACACACAAGAGCCTCTTTCTCTCCTCTCTCTCTCTCTGCACTAAGAAAAGATCAGGTCAGGTCAGGTCAGTGAGAAGGTGGTCATCTGCTTCAAAACTGACCTCCTGAGTTTGGACTTCTAGCCTTCAGAATGCGAGAAAATCAATTTCTGTTGCCTAGGTCACCAGTCGCTGGTATTTGTTATGGCAGCCCGAGCAGACTGGTACACGTGAGGCCCCAGACTAGATCCACTGAGCTTACTGTCACTGTGCCTTTCGAAGCTGCTGTGTACCCATTTAAACCAAGCCAAGAACTCTTCACCTCATGTTTGGCACCAGGAAGACACCCTGTAAGCCCCTTATATTTGCTAAGTTTTTATCAAAAGTTTGGTTGCATGATACTTTTATGGGGGTTGTATAAAGGTTGTTGTTGCAGATCGTCTTTCCCAAGATGGCCGCAGCAGTATGGCCGGTCCATGTGTGTCTCTACAGTGTGAACTTGACATGCCTCCCAGAGAGAGGAGGAGCCATGTCCTTGCTCCTTGAATCTGGGGAGGCTGTGACTTGCTGAAAAGAATTTCATGTATCTCCTGAGGTTGGGCCAGGAAAGGCTGAGGAGCTTCTGTCTGGCCCTCTGGGATGCTCAGCTTTGGCGACCTGATCCATTGTGTAGGAATTCTGACCACTCTGAGCCACCATGAGGTGAGACTGCTGCGGCCCTGTGTGAGGGCTCGGGTCTCAGCCAACTGCACAGCCACCACAGACACGTGCATGGAGAAGCCTCGGGATTCCCACTCTCACACTTCCCCTGGGTGAGCCCTGTACCACCTCTGTCATCCAAACTCCTAGCCCACTAAATGGTAAGCAAAATGAAATAGTTTTAAGCTACTAGTTTTTGGGGTAATTTGTTATTCACTTATGATAATAATTGGAACAAATATACATTCCTCCTGTGAATAAATCTCACCCTGATCAAAGAGACAAGCAGAATTCCACCTTGCTTGGATCTTTTTTAAGCAACCCTTAGGTGTGGCATACTGGTTTGCAGTAACAGATAGAGATCTTGCCGAAAAGTCTGGACAAAGTACAGGAAAAATGGTTTCTGTGAAGGAATCCATACCTTGCAAGCACTGTGATTTTTATTTTCTGGTACTAGAGATTGAACACAAGGCTTTCTCACTGAACTGTATCCTTAGCGTTTTCTATTTATTATTTTGAGACAGGGTCAGGCTGGACTTGAATTTCCAATCCTCTTGCCTCAGCCTCCCAGAGTGCTGGGATCATAGGCGTGCTCCACCAGGTACAGCTAAGCACTATAAATTTTGTCATTGTCAGCTTTCCCTCTTTGCTTTGGCTTTCAGGAAACTTGGGACCAATTTGTGACAAACTGGCAGTAATATCTTATCCCTTTGTATCTGGCTATATTTATTTTTGTAAGGCTCCTCAAATGGTTTTGAAGCAAGGTGGGATATAAATGAGTTGATAGGGAAATTGATGTGTCTTAAATCACTAATGTTTGAGAATAGTATTAGACTGAGCTATTCCAACATATAGCTTTGTTATAACTAAAACCCAAACAGCCCTTATATCTTTTAAAACAAAAATGTAAGAAGCTAAGAGGGGCAGTCTAGATTGGAAGTTAAATGAAATGGTAAGGACTATGAGTGAGATAATATAATATTGTTTAGTAAGCAAAACAGTGAGGCACTTAGGAAAAGTAAAATTTACTGGGCACATGCTATCTCCTGAGCATAGATTTTCAAGGTCCCTTATGTACACAATTTCAGTAAATTTCATCTAATCCTGGTGAAACAATTCCAGGGCCTTGTTATGGTGTTTGCTGGAGGCACAGGCCACATGGCATTCATGTGAATCCCTCAGGTGCACCTCCCTTCTGGGGATGGGGATCTGAGGTACCGGCCACTGCCCAGGAGAGATTCTGTGTCCCGAGCTGCATCGGCACAGAAGGTGCAGCCCCAGGAGAGGGACAGGGACTATCCTGCCAGGGTCAGCCCCTGCGATTGCCATGGTGCCCCATTTTCCCCTAGAAATCCTTGATCCCATTAGGGACTCCCTGGAGAACCTCCCAGCTCCGAGGAGGCTTCTGTCACTCTGCAGGCTGAGAGCCCGCTTGTTTCTGGGCATTTCAGTGGGACCAAAGGGTCATTGATACTGGGCACAGAGAGGCACCTGCCAGCCCCCCTGCCCCCCATGGATGGGAACTGGAGAATGTGTTCTTCATATGGAAATGATTCCTCTTGGTGGATTCAGGCATGAACAGATCAGCCAAGTCCTGTGACCATGGGCTTTGGGGTGGGACGTGGACATTGTCCAATTTTGTGTCATGAATCCTTCTCTGTAGTGACGCCCTGCTTACTGGATCTTGGGAGAGGAAGGGATCTTAAGCACCAGAGAGGAGAAATCCCAACTGGTGGGCAACAACTCCATTCAAAGCCCATCCACAAGACAGCATTTATCTGTGCTAGGAGTCTCAAGTCTCTCTAACCAGCGAATCTGTATCAATGACCCTTTGGTTCCCATTGAAATTAGCCTTATATGTAGGTATGAAGCTACTCAAGGCTGGGGTTTGGGTGAGCTGAATGGCTCAACACCCCTGCCCCCAGCCCTGGCGCCTGAAGTTCCGGGGTCAGTAGTTCACCCCAGCGTACCCAAGTCCCCTGATGAAAACACACCAGCTTGGTCGCTGGAAGCAGGTATGGGAGCCCGAGGGTGAGCTTCTGCTTGCTCTCAACTCAGTTCCCAGCCACTCATCTGTACGACCTTTGAGAGGGCCTGGCTCAGGCCTGGCAAATTCTGGACCCATGTAGGATGTTACTGTCCAGAGCCTACTGACAGATGGGCTTTGACAGCTCATGTGCTCATTCCTTTATTCATTGACCTATCAGCTATTGATTGGATGGATGACTCTGTGCCAGGTGCCAGGTGCCAGGTGTTGGGCCAGCCTCTGCCTTCAGGAGGTGTGTGTTGTAGGGAGGAAGCAGAGAGTGATGAACTCACGGATAACGTACAGCAGGCGCCATGGTGACAAGTACTGCAAAGAAAATAATGGGGCTGCACAGTGATGGGTGGGGGAAGACTCATGTGACAGGGACATGCTGTTGGCCGAGGTGAAAACTGCACAGAGAGCTATAAGCTGTGTGGGGCTGCATGGGCCTGGAGAGGGAACAGCCGGGGCAGGGGGAGTCTGCCTGGAGTGTAGGGGCACGCAGGACTCCGGCTGGGTATGGGATGGCGGCGTGGCAGGAAGTCCAAGGGGCAGAGCAGGTAAGAGCAGGTCCTCCCAGTGCCCCAGTGGAGTAAGCCCCAGTACATGGGGGCTTGCCCCACTGCAGCCTTGCTCCCCAGGGCGAGGGTAGCTCCTTCAGGGGGTGCAGGCACTTGGAGGAGGACTGGCAGCCACTGCCAACTCCCTTACGACCCAAAGCCCTTGCTGCCTTGCTGCTCACAGGCAGCATCCCTGCACTGCTCATGTATCCTTCTGCTGTTCCCACCCCCCTTCTTCCAAACCCAGGTGACAGCAGGAACCTTACGGATGGCTTCCCTCAGCCCAGCCCTTCCCTGAACCAGCTTCCGAGGCGCCCTCTTCCCCAGCCATCCTCCCACCCATTCCCAAGCTTGGGCCTGTTTGAGTGGACTTGCCAAAGGAGCTGAGAGAGGACAAACACCTCCTCCCCACCCTGGGTAATCTCGCCTGCCCTTCAGAAGCCCTTCGAGTGCTTATATGTGCCAGGCACTGTGCTTTACATGGATCAAGATGTCATTGAATCTTCCCATCTCCCAGCAAGATAGGTACTACTGCATTTTGCCCCTATTTTGCAGATGAGAACATGGAATCAGAAAAAGCTGTCTCTGACCCTGTCATTTGCCCAAGATCACAGAGCTGGTAAGAAGTCTTGGTTGAAATGCAAATGTGTCTTTCTCCTGAGTGCCTCTGTCTGCAAAAGAGGTGCTGAACTGAGAACTGTGACAAGGACAGCTCTGGGGCTCCAGGTAGCAACAGGGAATCAATCTGCATCTCACTTGGCTTGTGTCCCCAGCAGGAACGAAGATCTCAGATTGCTCTCACCATGCCTGGAGGGTACTGCTCCTCGCTCTCCTGGAGGAGCCCGATCCCAGTGAGAAGAGAGCCTGCACTATAGTGTGTCCCCCTGTGTCCCGATGTCCCCTCTCCTGGCCTTAATCCCTGGCCTCACTCCCTGGCCTCTTACATCAAACATTCACTGAGTTCCTACTGGGTACTGAGGACTGGGGACACAGAGCTAATTATGTACAGGGTGATGCAAGACAAGTACCCTCAAGACTGCTGGCAGGCAGAACACAGGCCTGTTCTTGCTTAGCTATGTGATAAGCAAAGTGAAAGTAAGCAGTCAATGTTATTTCAACAAGATGAGCCTGCAACGAAAATGGAAGTGATTTAAAAATTTTTCATGTAACATTCAAGCAATGAATTATTTTTCAGTAAATTACTGTTTGAAAAATTTTCCACATTTACTTCAAGAGATTTCCAGTAGATCCGGAAGCTCTTGTGCACTTCTTGTGGTTCAGTGTCCCTCCTTCTCCAGATGTAAACTCAGAGGGAAAGTGAATGCCCATTTCCAGAAGTAATGACAGAAACAGAGAACTGTATACAATTTCCTTGGCTTCAGAAAGCATAATTTGCTTTCTGCCGCTGTTTTGCCTGGGGCTCCCCATGTCCTCAGCGAAGGCTGGCGAGACTGGTGACAGGCCGGGTCAGGCAGGGCCCACTAGATGTTGCCGGGGTTCATTCCCTCCAGTGGCACCTGGGGGAACCAGTGAGAGGTGGCAGATAGGGTGACTTGGAAGGTGCCCAAATGCCCTCCCAGCCTCCACCAACCCCAATAGCCTGCCATGGTGCCTAAAATTCTACCACCCGGACTCTGCTGATGCTTTCAGTTTTTGGGGGGATGATAATAATGCATTGGATCTGTTTCTGCAAATGTCCTCTTGTACCAAAGCCCCAGAGGTGTTTATGCAGTTCAGGTGTGAATTGGGGCTCCCCTCTCCTTATGCTCTAGGTGCAGTCCTCTGGACACTCACAGCCTGAGGAAGCCCTGGGGTATGACAGCTTTGTGGTCCCCTCGGCGTCTGGTTACCTAATCCCACTTCCTCTCACAGCCACCCTGATGCAGGGCTCAGCAACAGCCTGGTTTCCGCTGGGCGCCACCATTCCAAGTGTTTGGGAGCTGTGCAGACTCTCTGCAGATTTTGTGGGATGTCAGGTGGTGCACTTGCCTCTCACTCAGACTCACTCTTTGCCTTCTGACTTCTCACACTGACTCTCCCAGGGCTCCCAACTCTTCCCCCTCGCTTGCTTCATGTGCCTGGAGCTGCCTGGTCTCAGTGAATCCATTTTCCTCCTCCCTCAGCACCTGCTGCTCATCTGTAGCTGGGACCTGTCATCCTTGATTCCTCTTCCCTTTCTGTGTCCCATGTCTAGATGCCAAGTTTTGTCTATCCCGAATACCGCATTTCTCCAGCTGGATAAAGAATTTCAACATGGGGGCTCAGGGAGTATTCTGGTGGTGGAAGGGGCTCAGGCTTACTTCCCAGCAGGCGCATAGCCAATGCATTGTTCTAAGTTTCACGTTGTTTATTTGGGGTGACTTTTGGAGCCAAATTGATGGAGATATGGGAACCAGTGAACATTCCCCACCTCCTCCACCACCACGTCACCTCTCTCAGTCCCCATGGCCCCTGTGGCAGCCTCTCCCAGGGAAGTGCCATGACTGTGTGGCCTTCCACTTGGACCCCTGGCCTTTCTAGTCATTTCTGAAAGTAGAATCCAATCATGCTATTCCTCAGCCTCAGTGGTTCTTGTCCACCAGATGGAGACCCACATCTTTTACATGGCAGGAGAGCCCACACAGTCAGGCCCTGCATCACGTGCATTGCTGCTGCCTCCTGTCCATCAGCTGCATAGACCTGTGTTCGATGCCTTGGTCACCCATAGTGTTCACATAGGCTGTTCCCTCTGCCTGCAGTGTTCCACGTCCCCCTTGTGTGGTGAAACCCTTGCATCTCAGCCTATCTGCCCAGCTAGCTGTTACCTCCTCTGGGCTCTGTCCCTGATGTCCCAGGCTACCTTATAGGGTACTGCTGTGAGATTACTTTACTGTAGCTGATAATAGCCCCAGATTGAGGGCATCCCTTCCTCCCAGTATGGGCGGCCCTGGTGACTTGAAGGCCATTTTGCCCACTGCTGTGTCCTCCATATATGGCATGAGGCTGGCACATCATAGGTGCTCAGTAAACATGTGCGGAATGAATGAGTGAATGAGCAAGATGTTGTATCCAGGGATGTATCCATGTGGAAACAGACATTGGGGTGTCTCATCTGGAAAAGAGGTGACAGGTGAGGGTGGGGAGGCTGTGCATGGTCCTTACCTCTAGTTGCTATGAGGGATCGTTGGGAGATTAGAAAAGAGGTGGGTAAAGCACTGAAGAGCACTTCTCAACCCTGTCCTTTCTGTATCCATCTCCCTCTCTTCTCCCCCTAGCATCTGGCTTGAGTTAGAGGTGGCAGGGTTCAGAGACTGGGTTTCTGTCCCTGGGGTGGAGACCTTGCTGACAGTGTTCTGAAATGGCAGGGGACCCTTGTGACAGTGACAGCCCTTAGTCACACAATGCTGAAAGGGTACCATGCACCAGAAGGGGTAGGCGGGGATGGATACCAGATGTCCTTCAGATTTCCTTCCCTCCCCAAGAAGCTCTGATTTTGTCATCTTTTTAAAAAATTTTCTTTTGTTGCCTTGATTTAAAATAGGTATAGAAATGCTGCACATTCAAATATGAGAGGAATCTTAGGAAAATTACGTTACTAGGAAACCAAAATGGTTTGGCATTCTGTCAAGAGGAATTTCTATTCTGCCACCATATACTGTTCCTGAGATCCTGCCAAACCGCATTTGTTATCCATGGCTGTCTTCTTTGAGCTGGATTCTCTCCAAAAACGATCAAGGCACAACATCTCTGAACACCAAAAACTACTTGTTGGCCATTGTCTTCCCTGCGGGTATTGAGGTATCAGAGTATTCGAGTTAATAAACATGTTTCTTATTCTAAGCAAGAATGCGGACTTATTCTGAACATTTTGGGCTCTGTCAATAAAATGCACACAATGTCCAGGTCCAAGTTTCTCAGCCTTGGCACTGTGAGACTATGGGCTGATGGTTCTTTGTTGTGGGGGGCCGCCCTGAGCTCTGTGGATGCTTTAGAAGCGCCTTTGGCCGCTGTCCGCTAGATCCCAGTAGCTCCTCCCCAGTTGTAACAGCCAAAAATTTCTCTAGATATTGCCAGATAGTCACAGCGGAGCAAAAGCAACCCTGTAGAGAACTATTGGTCTACAGAAAAAGACTGGAAGTAAGGGAGTCATCTAGATTTTCTGTGTCTAAGTAACCAACCAAATTGCACCTGAAACCCAGTTTTCTGACCTCATCCCTGGATTTAGGAGGCAGGACTTGGATGTGATTAAGATCAAGACCAGGGAGCCAAGTGAGCAGCTCAAGTCCTGGGCCTCCTGTCCACAAGTTATTTGGCTCTGTAAGCTTTGGTTTCTCCACCTGTAAAATGTAATACTGTGCTGGGTGGCCAAAAGGATTAAGTGAGATAATTTTTTTTTTTTTGGTACCAGGGATCAAACTCGGGACCTTGCGCTTGCGAGGCAGACAGCAGCACAACTGAGCTAAATCCCTGGCCCTAGATAATGTTTTTAAAGTGCTCATCCTTGTATCCAACCAATAGGTAAAATCTATGTGATCTATGTGACCTATTGTTATTTATGACAAAAATTCTCCAGGCTGAAAAAGATATTTTATTCTTTGGCAAATAACTTAAAAACTTTCAGCCTTAGTGTGTTACACTATGGAAACCAGTATGGAGATTTCTCAAAAAAAATTAAAAATAGAAATTCCATTTGACCCAGCTATTCCCCTTTTAGGTGTCTTCCTAAAAGAGTAAAAATCATCATATTACAGTAATATGTTATTGTTCATATTTATAGTAGAACAATTCACATTAGTTAAATTATGGAATTTATAATGGGCCTATATGCCCATCAACAGATGAGTGGATCAAGAAAATGTGGTACATACACATAATGGAGTACTACTCAATCATAGAGAAGAATAAATTTGAGACATTTGTAGGGACATGGATGGATCTTGAGACCATAATACTAAGTGAAATATATCAGACACAGAAGGGTAAATATCACATGGCTTCTCTCATATGAGAGATTCAAAATATAAATAACTTAAAAAGCAAAATAAAAAAGAGATGGTTGGAAACAGGAAAGTAGACTCTGTGGAGACGGGAAGGGAAACTGGGGAGGGAAAGAGAAGTGTTGAGAGGGAATAAAAATGATTGAGATATGTGTATGCACCAATTCTACAAGATGAATGTAATTACTATGTATTGCAAATATATACTAAAATGATAGAAAATTATTTAAAAATATAGGCTACACTGCTGTAACCAACAGTTCTGAAGTTTAAGGGGTTGAATGCAAAAACCGTTATTTTCCACTCCACAGTGGTCAAGCCCAGGTGTTCCGAGCAGGGGTGTTCTGGGTCCTTCAGCTCCAAGCAAGGACTTGGGGACCCAGACTCCTTCCATCTTGTGGCTCTGCCCACTCTAGGATCTTTCCTAAAGCATGGCTGTTTTGCAAAAATTGAGAGAATTCCAAGGTCAAATCAATGTGATGAACTGTACATTTACACATTCTGTCCTGGAGAGTCGAGTGTGATTGGCCTCTGACTGATGAGTGTCTGCAGTAAAGAAACCTGTTAGGCTTTGAGTAAGCCAGCGTCTGTCAATGGTTGAACTTCTGTGGACTCCTTAACAATGCTGCCCTAGCAGCTATGACCATCTCACAGGACAAGCGTCCCATGGGAAATGTGAATGTTGGGTTTGGGCAAAGGAATGACATGGTCATGCTCATGTTTCAGGAAGTGAGACTATGGCTGTGTAGTTTGTAAAGCTGAGGGATTGTACTGAGGTGACTTCTGTCATAATCTAAGCAAGCGGAAGGAGCAGGGGCAGTCAGGAAGGAGACAAGGGATTTGACCATAAATTATACAATTTCTATTTGTTGATTATACTTCAATAAAGCTGGATCAAAAAATCCAACCAACCAAGAAGAAAAAACAAACAAACAAACAAAAGCATTTCCAGGCTAGGGCTGTAGGATGGAGGTAGAGCGCTTGCCTGGCATGTGTGAGGCCCTGGGTTTGGTCCCCAGCACAGAGGGAAAAAAAAGTGGCATTTTAGGGAAGAGTTACTTGGTCTTAGCAGGCAAATGGCCAAGGAAGTGAAATTGCCAGCGTTGTCCATCTGGCATGACAGAAAACACTAGATGCTAAGCGGAAAGAGGAAACTTGATGGTTTGGAGGGAGGCTGTGGAGTCCAGGTAGGTGACCTCACAGAGAGTGAGGGTATGAAGAGGAGGCAAGGGCCCAGCTAGGGTCTCAAGAACAGCACTGAGGAAGGCAGGGAGGTGTGCCAAGGAGCGGGGCCAGGGCATGGGGTGCGCAAGAAGGCCAGGCGATGCCAGGTGCTGCGGGGTCTTCCAGGAAACAAAGGAGAAGCACAATAGGTATTCCAGGGCAGGCAGTGAGGCCCAGCCTCTCTGGGAGCTGTGCTGGGAGAGACCTGTCTGCAGGGGAGAAGCTGGGAGGAGGGAGACAGAGACCTGGGCAAAGGGCTGGGAAAGGGGAAGGGGCCCTGTGGGCGGAAGGAGTGCAGCAGGTGTTGGTGAGAAGCAAGGCAGTGAACTGGGTAAGTTCCCTTTCTTTTTAGGATGTAGACCTTGTGGGCATCTGGGGGGAGTCAGACTAGCAGGGGCTGTGCATGTGGGCCTGCAATGTGAGGAGATGCCATGGAGCTGCCCAAACTCATTCTACAAGCAGATTTCTTTTTTCAAATTGGAAGCTTCTTTGTTGCTTGTGTTGGCCACGAGTAGTAATACTTACATATTTTCCAGTTATTCAGAAATACAGATAGATGGCAGTGAGATTATCCACATACCGAATCCCAGAAAGAACCAGTTAGGCTCGCTCTCTCTTTTCCTCTCTCCTCCCTCTCTCCCTCTCTCTCTCTCTCTCTCTCTCTCTCATATGTGTCTTTATGTCTATCTCATCTCTATTTCTATCTCCCTTTCTCTTGTGGTTTTGTTATAAAAATACGATTCCAACTATTACTTTGCACCCTGCTTTTACAACTTTATTTAAGATATCTTTGCATGTTAATTCATATGATTAGAAATAATCATTTTAATGGCTGTATAGAATTCCATATTGTGGATATAGCATAAAGGTATTAACACAGAATTCTGTTCTTTATTTGATTTTTTGGGGGGGTAGTATTGAGCTATTTTATTTATTTATTTTTTGTGGTACTTAGGCCTTTGTACTGAGCTATATCATGATGAGCCTTTTAAAATTTTAATTTAAAAAATATTTTGAAACAAGGTATTGCTAAATTGCTAAATTGCCCAGGCTGGGCTCAAACTTGCTTGGAATCCTTCTGCCTCAGTCTTCCAGAGTGCTGGGATTAAGACATGTACCATGACATTGGCTTATAATATACTATTTTAAAAGTTTTAAAAACTAAATGAGGTTACATGCACTCAGGATTAGCCACATAGAAATACTCTGAAGGTAGGAAGGAAAAAAAACAAACGTGTGTGGTCATGAATGCCTGCAATCCCAGCATTCTTGCAGGCTGAGGCAGGAGGATTGATTAAGCCCAGCCTGGGCAACTTAATCATCTAGAAGACCTTGTCTTAAAATAAAAATAGATAAATAAGAGCTGAGGATGTAGCTTAGTTCAATCCCAAGTACTGTGGACCCTCAAGTTATGACCAGCCTGACATACAAACAACTTGGGTTATAACTGGAATTTTAGTTTTAACTTACAAACAGAGTCTTGAGTTATGACCTGAATACTGGCTGCCTGTGCTTCCAGAGGGTCACAGATACAGATTTAACCCTTAAAGAATTCTGGAAGAAACATGACAGCATCCTTTCCTGTGTTGGGCTGAGAAATATCCTGGGCCAATGTCTCTCTAAGGACACTGGGATCTGCCTGTGTACAGGAGAGAGACTTTGAAGGTAGTTAACCAACTTGAGTTACAACCAGTCCTTGCAAACTAATTGAGTTCGTAAGTCAAGGGTCCAGTGTACTGCAAAAAACAGAAACAAATTTCCCAAACAAAAAAAGCAAACCACCACAAAATAACAAACAAAACAAAAAACCCATGGCTCCAGGCTCCAGTGTCATCTTTGGAAAACAGTTTCGTTGTTCAGTCCTGGTACAGTACCTTTTGGAGCTGTTCCTGTTTTTATATCTAAACATAATTTCTATAGAAGCATTCTCAGAACAAACTATATAATATTTTAAGTGAATATACACTACTCCCAGATATGAGACATGGAGAAAGGCCCAATGGGATCATATATGTGGCATGCCTGTCAAGAGGACATAATCTAAATCTAATGATTGCAGAACACGAGACAAAACCAAATTTGAAAATTCTACAAAATAACTAGCTATTCTCAAAATTATTCTGTAAGTCTGAAATTATTTCTAAAATAAAAAAGTAAAATAAATAATGCAAATACCAATTTAAACTTTCTCAGTTTTATTCTTTTCAGAAGGCTGAGACAGGCAGCTTAAAATGTTTGGGAATTGTTGACATGGAAATGGTTGATTCACGACTCCTTAACCTTGAGAAAAATCACAAAATTTAGCTTCCCTTGTCAGTGTTACTGATCACACATCATCTTTTGTGCCAGCCCCAATGACACACAATCCACCAGCTCACCACTATCTCCCACGCTTGTCCTTCTCTCAGTGAACTTGTCTGTCCACCCACCAGATCCCAGACATCAAAGCACTGTGGCATGGGCCATTTACCTGGCCATGGTTTTGTATGTGTTTGTGTAGGGGTCTCTTGGGTAGATCATAATATGATCTTTGGGAATACTCAGCATTACTGGGTCAGATCAACAATTGCAGCCATTTTCCTGCGATCTCCTTTTCCTCATTACCCCATC